GCAAACGACACTGCCATTGCCTTACCACCTCTCCGACTGGTACTGCTTAACACAAAATCCGTTCGCAATTGAAAAACATTCTACAGAATACGGAGGAAATAAATTATTAAAACCATAAGAAATGCATGCGTATTCGAAGAACATAATATATACGTATACACATATTATGTGTCTCGGTTAGTACGGTAAGGTTAAAGTTTAATAATATCTTATTTATAAAACTTCAAAAGAAGCGATACGATATTAATATTTTATTTTTCTTTAGTATCACTCTGTTTGTTAGTTGTTGTCTTTTATTTCAAAATGTTCACAATCCGTTCATTTTTGTAATGTACAGCAAGCAAAACTGGTAACCAAAGTTAATTTACGGGATTGTTGTCTTCATAATAGAACCCGTATCCGACTCACGGATTTACGGAAAAGTTTCGAAAACCACTTATCGCACATGGACATTTTTCATTCGTTGAATATTTTCGTATTTCAGGTAAGTATGAAAACCCGAAAACAGATGGTCAAAACTTTAGAAACTATCATCATATTGAAATATTTTTTATGGTAAATTCTTATACATAAAATATAAAAAACAAATTTTAAATATAGAATAATTTGTAGTAAATTTAAAAAAAAAAAAAATTAAAAATTAAAACAAATGACGTCGGAAATCACCAGCATACTCCTAATATGATTTAATTTATTTGGATTCTTTATTTATTTCCTGTGTATTCCGCAGATGAAGATAAAATTCAAATTTTAATTTATTTATTTCGTGTTGTAAAAGTATAATTGAACTCGTCTTCCCACTTATTGTTAACACACCTGAAATATGATCTTTTAAAGATATGGTTTGCCACAAGCTAAAGATTCATATTATTTCAACATTACATAAAATGCATTATACCTTTCTATCAAATCTCATCCATCGCGGTAATAACACGAATACTTAGCCGTATTATATTAAATGTTTATTTGTTTTGTCGTAGAAATTTATCAAAGGCGTTTTACAATATTATAAAGAAGACTTAATATTTAAAAACAGGAAACTGGTTAAAGTAATTTTTTTTTAACTGAATTCAGTTTCTTGTTTCATTTTCAAAATTAATTCGTCTTTTTTTTGCGAAATGAAATATCCCGATCGTGCCACTGTAAATTAATTTATGTTCGTACATAATTCGTGGTGAAAACAACAAGTCCTGATTTAGCCATTTTGAGGCCCTTAGACCGGTAAAAACGTTATTTTTCGTGTTGACGATTTGAACCAAAATTCTTCAGTGCATTCATGATACACGTCAACGATGACGGGCGATAAAATTATCTTATAGAATATTGTTCAGTTCTTTAAATTCTGGTTTCATTTTATAAAATATGTCTCTCCAGTTTTTCCTTCCGGTCCGAGTAAGATAAATAGGATCTATTGTCTTGTCTCATAATAATGGCAATTCTTCTATAGATGTTATTAACAGATCAATGTCTAAAATACCTTTGTCAAGCATTTGAGAGTTTTCATTTGACAAATCCATGTTAAAAATGATCGACATTTTTACATAAAAGCAAGTTACATCACAATGATTACGTGTTTTGAGTGAAAAATAACATTATATTGCGCGTTTAATACCGTTATATTATATACCACATATAAGTCCTTGACGCGCGATATTTTTAATGCACGGTAAAGTCATGGTGCACGCGATAGTTTTTGAAATGTCGCGCGTTTATTTTACGGCGCGAAACTCGTATGTTTTTAATCATTTTAATGTACTTTAACAAAACGCGCCGTAAAAATATGGCGCGGTAAAAATGTCGCGCTGTAAAATATCGCTCGTGTGTAGCCCGGCTGTAGGCAAAATAAAACACGTGGCGTTTTAGACCGTGTCCTCACCAAAAGCAAGTAGCAAGTAAGTATTCTTTAAAAGCAGTAGAGTTTCCTTTATGATATCATAAAAAAAAAAAAAAAAAATTGAAAATTCACTTAATTTACCTTTAACTTATATCCATTGATTGCATATTAATTATGATTACTTTAATTTTATTTATTTAAGTATAATATGATGTATTTAATATTAAAAGTATGTCGAATACGCATGTATAAGATAAATTAGTTAGATAATTTATTATTTCGTAATAATATGGATTATATAGCATCAACTTACTAGAATTATTTGTTTTATTTGAAATTTCATTCCACACCTTTTCTTTTATAACTTGTTGGGTTTAATTACATGATTTTATATCTTAAACACATGTACGACTTTCTATTAGTTGTACAAAAGTCTCATTTTATTTTTGTTTGTTTGCCATTATAAATAAACAATTTAAAAATAAAATATTGTATTTTATTTAAATAAATTATGATAGAATAACCACGAGCAACTGGTAGAAAGAGACAGACATGTCGAGTTGCTTAAAAAATTGGTGCGTCGCGAGACGTACCGCAAAAGTGAGAACTATATTTTCAGGTTAAATATTATGATGGCATAATATGATAAATGTAATTGATAATAAAATTGTATCAATGTTAAGTCATTATTTTATTATAAATGCAAAATATTATTACAATATAACAATCAAATATACAAATGTCATCTTAATATTAATTATTTTCTACTAATACAATGCTTTCAATAGCTCGTGCAGGTTCTACATTAACTTTTAATTTATAAATTATCATAGCATGCAATCACGTATAAATAAAGTTCTCACTTTAAAAGTTTCTTAAATAAAATAAAATTTAAAGCGGTTGTCCGGCGATACGTAGTTATCCGCGTCGTATATTTTATGTAATATTATCCGCGATATTACGCGCCGTGTATACACAGAGTTGTCTAAAATGAGACGAAAAAGAATCTGTGCTTGGCTGCTTGCGCGCGCACAGATGCTGAAGAGAGGAGAGTCGCAGCTGTTATGCGCGCGCACAGCACCATGTTCCGTCATCGGACGGACACGGACGTTTAACGAAATAGGTCCCCAACCAAGCGCGCGCAATCAAGTTTTCCCTTTAAAAATAGTTTTTAAGCCGTTGAGTTGCTTTATAGTCGTGTTGCGTTTTGTTTTATCGTCTTACGGTGATTTTTTTTTTAAATATTATATTTATTTTATACGATGAAAGTTATATTCTAAAAGCAAAAAAAAAAGGTAAAGGAAATTGCCTATCCTGCATAATGATTAATATGAGCCTGAAAAACAGTATTGATGTCGAATCGGATAAAAAAAACAAAAACGAGTAGCACAAGTCCCTGTTTTGCAAAAAAATCGTTTGCATTACGCGACGCGTGAAGAATAAACATAAACGTTTCTCGAAACGTAAATAATATTATTATGAATATTAATCCGATACGAATAACACGGTTACAACGCTGGATGGCCGGAATGTAAAATGAAAAACAAAAAGGAAAAACTAACGGAAAACGCGTCTTTTAAGCACTCATTGTTCGCTACGATAGTTTTTCCCTTTATTTTCCAACGTTATGATATTGCAGAGGTCATTCGTCCGGAAAATTGGATTTTCGCGCGCGTACACTTTCCCTCGTTCGGACGTCATCTTCTACCGCGTACACTGGATTCATCGTGATCTTGATGATCCGCCGCCACCAGCACCGAAATGATAAACATTCCTTCGAGTCCTCATACAGTATTGCACGTAGTACATGGTGAAGTATATGTTATATAGACTTCCAATAAAAACGAAGCCAATACGTTTTCAAGAAATCGCGATTGAAAAAAATAATAACAAAAGCGAAATCCGCTGTGATTGAGAAGGTTCTCCTACCTCTTCAGTATTGCGTTTAGAAGTGCTACTATTGTGTGTCCCATAATACTTAGCATATATTATACGTTTTTCAGCCGCGACTAGCGTAATATATGATACATTGAGGACCCCGTTTTGTAATTACGTTTTATCGGCAAGAAATTAAGCTGATCCAGTCCCGTAGCCACTGGGGGCATTGCCCGTGGTGAATTCAGGGTTATCGATGTCTCCCTCCACAAGCATTAAATGTGCATATGTTCTATTTAGTGGCAGTTGTGGAATAAAAATGATATAAGGGGGGCTAGTAAAGTGAGTTACTGCATGTCGATTTGTACAAAGCCTTTCTTACGTCTATTTTTTAAATATTTTAAGTATTTATGTTTGATATGATTCTACTTAATTTCTAAGAAGGGGACTTAAGCCCCCCTTAGATCCGTGCCTATGTAGTGGTATGTTTTGCACTATATTGTTTTTTCCTGATGTCTCTCCCCCTAAAATTTGGTTTGCATCATCTAAAGATTTGGTCTGACAATGGCCCTGAGCCGATTAGATAGTGTTACAATACTTGGGACTTTTTCACTTACAAACTTAGAGATGAATTATTTTCAACAATAATAATAAAAACTATACATAATCGTTTACAACTGTTTTCACAATTAATATCCATTTGTATGCAACATTTTTATTTCAATCCGACGGATCAGTGTAAATAGTAATGAATAATAATAACAGGACAAAATAGTATGATTGAGATTTTTCGGGTTTATAAAAATCTTTCATTCTAGGCCACGTATGCACCAAACTTAAGATTTCAAGGCTCCAGCCTGCATCTTCATAACGTTTTAATCGGATCCTCACCGTACAAAATAGTGAGATTACTGTTGAACATCTTGTGAAGTTGTGTGCTAACTCAGGGTTTTGTTACAGACTTTTAATACATTTATCACCAATTCAATAGTAATTTTTAGTGTTTGTGTATGTGTATTTGTGGTGATGTTCAAAAAAAAAATAAAAATTTAAAATACATAATACAAAAACCAATAGCACAACCTTTTTGTTTATTAGATAAAATGTGATGTTAAGTCTGTTTAGCAGAAAAAAAAATAATACAACAAAATAATAATAAGGTGTTTTTACTTCGCTAATTATGTCGAATAAAAACAATAAGGTACAATATTCTTTGGTCGAAATGTACAAGTAAACGTTAATAATTAAAAGTCAAAATTAGTTTGTCTAATAAAAAAAATAAATAAAATTAAGACTGAAAACAACAAAATTATTTCATAAGGAGATGCATTCAAAATAAAAAATTGAACACATTTTTCTTATCAGACTCCACTTTGTATAAATTCGATTGTAACAAATAAAAGTAAAAATAAACGTTACAGGAATATTATGAATGGTATTTAATAATGAATATACAGACTAAATAGGGCACAAGCCCTACCAATAATGGCAGTCAGTTATCAATGGCCACGTACCAAGTACCACTTCGAGACAATACAATTATATTTTAATTTATTTAGTTATATATTATCAATATTATTTGGATTTCGTACAACCTCTTGGTAACATAATATTCAAACTAAATTTATATAATATTATAACACCTAAAGTTACTCTAGTCTTTATGTATTCGTGCGTAATTTAACAAGTATTTCATAAAATTTAACTTGGTAAAAATCGATGGCAAGATCGTATGAAATAAACGAAATTAAAAAAAAAAAAAAAAAAGGAAAGTATAGTTATTATATTAGCATTAAATTAATATTGTAGATAATGAAATATCCAAATATTTCATTTTATAGTTAAATTGTATGGCCGAAGTGCAAACACGCGATGATATTGTGGCACTATAATAATTAAAAATGTTATGTAGAAATTTATTGTCATGAGTCAATACGCTTCTTGGTTTGTGAATCGTTTCTATGTAATTGATGGTCTGGAGTAGCTTTTAGTATATCAGGCTGCATATTGCGACTCAGCGAACTGCCCAATGTTGCACTATTCTGAGCTAATGCATTCATGTAATCAGCAATCAACAATGTTATCTCTAGAATCTGGCAGTTAAAATAAGGAAAATGATTATTAGAAAATATTTTCTTTATCTATCTAATTTACAAAAAAAGTATACATTTACCTTTGGTTTGCTTAAGGAAAACAAAAGTTTATGGGATTCTATAATTGCAGAATCAGATGCAATAACTAACATAAAATCATCTTGGCAACCACCAAATGTTAACACTTGACTAAACATATATGTTTCGATTAATTGCATTGAACGCAATTCCAATAAACTGATACTATCTTCGGATACAGCTAACCACACTACAGTACCTGGTAGTACTGTATTTTCTCCATGTTTCATCTAGTTGACAAAAGTTAAATTTAAGTAAAATCAGATCTATTTATTGGATTACAATGATTATATTAATATTCATATGTCCATGACACTCACTTTGGCTTGGAAAAGAGTACATCCAAAATATGGCCACTTTCTAGTACAAGTTAAATATATTCGAACACAATCAACTAAATTCCGTCCTTTCAGAGACATCCATTTTTCTTGAAGACCTGTCTGAAGATGTCTATAAACACAATAATTGTATGTATTGATTATAATTTAATTTTAATACTCGTATATAAATGTATTAAATATTAAATTATTTTACATACTTGATTGCTTCTTGAGAAGCCCCATCGCGGTATCGAGATGGATAGAATTTATCAAGTGATTGGAGCACTTGCAATTCCTTAGTGGTACCACCGCTGCCACGGTTTTTATCACAATTAAATTCACCAAAATCAATCTGAACTCAAAAGAGTTATCCATAAATATAATTCAAGATAAAATAAGAATCATTGAGTAACTGTGTTATACCTGTGCCATTAGAGCAGCCAACTCTAAAGCAAGCTCTTTAGTAAGAGGGAATCGACCTTGAACCACCTGTTGATTTACTTGATAACAGAGCAATAGTCTTTCACGATCCGTCTCTTTCTTGACAAAGGATTTGAAATACAGTCTGTTCTTGAAAATCAATCGTATAACTCGTGTATTTTCAAATTTGCCAGAACCTTTTTCCCGCAACACAGTTTCCCATTTTGATATGACATCGCACAACTAAAAAAATTTATTACTTATAATTTTGACTAAATAAATTCTAATTTAAACATACTTTAGCTTGGGATTCAATATAGTGTTCCAGATCTTTTTCAATGGGATCATCACTAAATAATGTGAAACCTGAATGTTGACTATCTCTGCATCCAGTTTCTTGATTGAATGTAGATAAAAACTCTTCTATAGTTGTAGATCCATCGAAACCAACAACCTATAGCATAATTTACATTAATGACATATATTTGAAAACAAATAAACCACTAGAGACATTTAAAAGTAAAGAGAATTAATTATTGATTAAATAACATTTCTGTACCTGATAAGTCCCATTGAGCATATGAACAGGTATGGAGTGAGGCAACGAATGGTGATAAGGATTTTTTAACAAAATTGATAAAACTTCCATTCTAGATGGTTTTACATCGCGAATGCCATTCAGTATGGTTCGCTCCAAAGCACGTTCACAATATGCAGCATATTTTCCACATTCAGTCCTAAAAAAAAAATTGTAGTCTTAATTCATAATCTAAAGCAATGGTTAGTAACCTTATTAGACACTTGGGCCGCATTCACAAATTAAAAAAGGTTCACGAGCCAGACAATACAAAAAATTTATATGATATTCAATGACATTTCCTAGTTTTGAAATTCAATGCGGGCCGTATAAAAGAGACCCGTGAGCTAGATGCAGTCCGCGGGCCACCGGTTATCGACCACTGCTTTAAACTACTATCATTTTATTGGATAAAACAATTACTTACTTGGTGTCTATGTTACGTTTCAAGTGTAACTTGAGAAACCAAAGGAGTTTGGTGTTTTTCGGTACAAAAAGGGAAACAGCCAGCGCTAATAATTGCCATCCCTGGACGAAAACATACATAGGTGGGTTTGCTTTACAATGGTCCAGTAATGATGATGTAGCTGGACTAGGCGGTGCGGTCATACTGTGGTTTGGTGATCCTGGCACTACTGACTGGGTAGTGCTGATAGTAGGCGATGAGGCCAAGGCAGCATCACAAGTAAACAGCGACTGTGTGGCGCATAATAAAAGTTGCTGAAAAAACAGTGGACACGCGGTGCCTAAATGCCTAAACCTCTTAACTTGTGTATGTTTGCCATATTAATATAGCCCCTCTACATTTTTAAGATAACCCACAAACTGCAGCTCATGTAAGAATTCATAAACAAGATTCGTGATCTGATCACATATAAAATAATATGTTTTCGAAATCATGCAATGACATGCACAATGTTATCAACAGAGAGGATTGCAAATAAACTCTTAAATTGAGCAAAATAAAAACAAAAAAATACAAAATACATTTCAAGATACAAATTAATATAAAAATGCTTTAAAATCAGAAACTCTAAAGGCTTTGAAACAGGTTAAAATCGGATAATATAAAGTATGATAATTTTAAATATATATATTACTGATTATCAGATTATACTAAAAAAACAATTGTATATTAATTAAATCTTTTGTAAAAACTATACAGATAATGTAGCAAATAATTTTGCAATATTACATTGAATAGTTAATTCTAATACCCAATTAAAAACTAAACAATTTCTTTAATGTTTTTCATTTACTCTAACATAGGCTTTATCAAAAGAAACAGCTTGACCTCAAAGCACCGGTAGATTTAAATATAAACCAGTTTCAAAACCCTGTGATAATATTAAGAACGAGTATAATAACTCAATGAGTGGACACCGCGTATGCAATGTTTTTCGTTTATTCAATATGATGGATAACTGTAGAATTTATTAGAAATTACTAATTCTTTAAATTCTAATAAAAAAAAATATAAAAACACTTATATTTCTGATGGGTCAGACTAAAAGTAAGAAAAATAAATTTATAAAATATTATACCATTGTTAAGAATTTTAATTATTTTAAAATAAAATTAAACTGCATTATCCATCATTAAAAGTACATAACAAATACACATACACAGAATAATTAAAATAAGTAATAATAACTAATAATCGTAATAAAAGCTAGGCATTAAAAAAACAGTCAATGGATATTCATCATTAGCTATTTTACATAATTTTTGCTTTAAATATTAAAGAGCAATTTTTAGTTATCAAATAATTTTTTTAATCATCACTATCTTAGAAAACAATACAAACTTAAGTTTCTTCAAAATTCACTAAACAAAAATAGAAAGATTTAGTCAATTCAATAAAAGCAGTAATTTTAAATTCATCTTATATTCCTAATCCAAATAAACCACCCAATGTAAACTCGTATGATTTAACATTAAAGCCCTAATAATAGAAAGCAAATGCACGGTCACACTGATAATATTCTAAATTACCATCGGATAAAGAAATACAAAAACACTTATTTTTCAATTCAATTATTTGAATTATTCAGCATCTTCCAATTAAATCAATTATTCTTCTCGATTACAATTACAATTCTATGTTGAGATTGTTCTACTCCCTTCTAACATGGAAACTATCTGTTATTATCCATATACACAAATCAACAAAATTTCCTTATACAGACCAATTAGTCTGTTACCAGTATTAGGGAAATTATTTGAAAAAAAGATACTAAAATGAATCACACTTATTCTTTCATTTTTCATCTCATTATACAAAATCCTTCATTTTTCGTCTGTCTCGGTGACTCCCTTTCATCTCAATTTCAAATCCATGCAAAGATACATTAAGAAAGTGACTTATCATCAGACCTCTACAACATCTATATATAGCTGAAGTACCTAACTTTGAAAATACATTGATAGCTAATTACACTAACGACACATCAATTTTTTCATCACATTCAGACCTCAATAGTATTACAAAACCTACAAATTCATCTTGATAATATTTCTAAATAGTCTTCATTTAAAATCATAATCAATTCAGATGAGTTCTTTCACTTTAAGAAAAAGCATCTCCCTTGCGTTATACTCTTTCAAAACAACCAAATCCCAACAACACCTTAAACCAAATATTTAGGTCTAATCTTAGACAAGCATCTTACTTGAGTTCATATCTAAAAACTAAAAGAAAGGTTCTTAACAGTAGACTTAATCTTACATCAAATTATCAAGTGCAAGCACCTGATCAATAAAAAATTATTAATGCTATAATCAATGCTAAAACCCAATAGGACTATCGCACTCAAATATGGAGATATGCCAAAGCCTTTCCAAATATACACTTTACAGACATTTCAATCAATCTCTCATTGTCAAATAATATTTGTACCATATTAGACACTAGTGTCAAGATCTCTTGAATTGTGACTTGTATTATATACCAAATAAGCTTCTTCCTCCCAAAACTCTGATGGCATAACACACTGATGGATCTTCTTACCCAGGTTATTTCATGTTCTTGTATATTATATTATGTGTTACCAAATTTTCTTATTGTAAAATAATATAACAGATTGAAAATTTAGTTTTGTTTTTAAAAAAAATATTTTTATGTGTCTTATATCTAAAATATAAAACCAATGATTATGAGTATTTATGCTTATTTAATTGCATGACTGTTTTTTTAATTCCAAAAAGAAGCAAAGGGAAGGGGAACTTACACGATGCCGCAGTTTGGAGAATACCTGGACGCCGTGTTTATGAGATGCATGTCTAGACGTCTGTTTGACAAGGGCACATAATAGTTCAGCTTGTAATTCCCAGTTATCTAAACATAGCTGCAATGCATTTTGAGCTAATACCACATGATAATCAATACCAGCATTTTCGATGGCTACTGACATGAATAATTGACAACTCTAAAATAATAAAAAAATATTAAAATAATGTTAAGGTTCTTTTTTTTATATATACTTTAAATAGTTTTATTGCTTCATATTGTAGCGTTTCATTGGATAAAGTGGTTAGTGGTGAACTGATTGCTTCCTTTGAATGCAAAAGAGTTGGATGTTTCCACAACACACAATCTATATGAAATTACAAAAAGCATAAAAACTTATTATTTCAAAAAATTTATATTTATCTACTTGGATCGCCTGATGCTTCCATTAATTTTTGAATAAGCTGTTCAAACTGTGACCCTGATTGAGAACCACTGCCAGAAACTACAGTAAGATGGTATAGCCACGAATCCTGCGATTAAAATATTTTGAATTGTATTCCTTTATTATATACATTTTTTTTTCTTCAAATCAAACCTTTTCTTGTTTAGAAGACATAAGTAAATAAGTTGGAGGACCTTGATGTAATGGATGCAAAGCTATGGTTGGTGGCTGATTAGAATCTCTTTCTTCACTATCTGAATCAGAAACATGGTCAACGGTTTCTACACGGCAATCACGCATATTTATTTGTCCAAATGCACTCTAAATTTGTGGGGGAAAAAAAACAATACTTAGAAAAAATTAAAAATTAATTTTTAATTGTATTTACTGTATCAGTTGACGATTTGAAATACAAAAAGGTTTTTCCTACAAGCACACACCAACATCGTTTTGCATGACCATTCCTTACTTTCGTTAACCACCCTTGAATCGTTGGTTTGTGGTTTTCATTGTTCAGTAACAACTTGGTAGCGTTGTGTCTTTGAACATTCTATAATTGTATGAAGCATAAATCAATAGTTATGACAAATAAATTAAGATCTTAAGAATATAAAATTACTTGTAAAACTTTAACCCAATCTTCCATAGCTGCAATTGAATCTGCAGTTAAGTAAAATGTTTTTTTACTAGTTGATATTTCAAACGTAGCAGCGCCTTCGGCTCGGGTTATTCTGCATAGGTCATCAATTGTAATTTCTCGTTGTGGTTTGCGCGCTACATCATTCTGTGAAATAAAATATCAATGTAGAAATTAAACCAAAAAATATAGTGTAAAAGCAATATATGTAAACATTAACGTTAGCATTAATTATTTATGAAATTATAATTTGATTTACTTGAGTTTTCCAATAACGAAGTTTGCCATTGCTTAACACGAAAAACCGCCGTCTCCACGTCTTTAATTTGCCACCAAGTTTCGCCAAATGTCCAGACTTATCAAGCACCCCTGTTTTGGCACAACGACTCGGACTATCTGCTACAACAGCTGCACCATTAAGGTTTAACCTCAGCACCAACGACGACCATTCAGTCGAATCTTCGCCGCACGACATTGCATCTGGCGGAATTGCGTAATCATCCGATATGCCGGACTCCATAGAAGTATCTATTATGAAAAGTGCAACAAAAAATGTTTACTCAAAGTATAGGTCACAGTAAATATTCACACGGGTGTTAAATATATACGTACTTTTCGATGGTGATCCGGAAGAATTGTGTTTAACCGGCGAGAACGTTGACGCAGTCTTATGGCTCTTACTGGGACTGGAACTAGACAATGACGTGTCTGTGTTGTCCGTACTACTACTGTTCGTGATTCTGGTAGCAATACTGTGCGTGTTTGCCGTGTTCGTATGTTCACCTTCACCGTCACTAGAGTCATCTGACGAGTCACCAGTGAATGGACTGGACCTAATTTGACTGGCCCTCTGTAATAAAAAAAAATTAAAAAATACGGAATTAGAAAAATGTACGAAAAATATCGAGGTGAATTGAGAGTATAAGCATATTTTCTACACACCCCTTTTACGGTGGCGTACACGGGGACGCTTATATCACAGTACCCTTGCGACGTCACTACCCTGGTAGGATGCACGGCAGTGGAATTGGCAGCCGCAGCGATAGTGGGTTCTACTTGGCTCGTGGGTACGGTAGACAACCCTTCATTGGCCACCTGGTATATACGAGACTCCCACGAGGGAAACCTGTGCAGAGGCGGAGTCGGTGGTTTGTTGTTGGATTTGTCCCATGGCAATTTCTCCCTACTCGGTGTGTAGATCTCCGCATAGTCGTGCGTGATGTCCGATTCAATGCACACAGATTTCGCTGCAAAAATAAAATGAAATAAAAAAAGCTGTTCGTTTACAAATCTTAGATTAAATATTATATACTCACGTCTGATGGCGTTCAAGTTTAACGAATCCGTGGTGGTAGTCAGATCGTTAACCAGTTGTTCGTGGATAGGAATGCCTGTGCCGTCGGTCGACTCCGCAGGCGGCACTTGCACGCAGGCAGACATGTGCCGGCGATGGGTGCGCTGCGACCGTTCGGGTGTTCGCGTCTTGTGGTGTCGGTCGACTTGAGCGTAAACCGGTTCGTTGTCGGACAGAGCGCTATACACAGGAAGGAAATTAAATGAAAATAAGACGTTATAGTAATTAAATTATCATTAGAAATCCGTCGACGGGTACATGTTAAAAAAGTCACTTACTGCGTGGAGCCAGTGCTGTTGGCCCTATGCAACGATGACGTACTAGTGCGTGGTGACGAGGTCCCAGCACAAGCGCTCACGGCCATCTTGTCCGCGCTTAGCTGGGCCATGTGCCGCCTAAGCAACTCCAACTGCTGGTTGCACTTGTGGTTCTGCTCTCGCAGGTGTTGGTTCTGAGCTTCTAGATCCCTCAGCTTGTTAGTCACCCATTCCTTGATGCGAGCCGCCTTGGCCTCGACCATTTTGGCGTCTTGCAGCCTCAGCTGACGCTGTAAATCATCGTTATACGTGAAACATTAAACCTACCATCCGCCATAAATCCCCAAGTCCATATCACATGTATATGACAATTTATCAATGCTTACCTGTTCTTCCACCTGGGTCGCCAGCTTGCTAATAGCTTGTTCCTTCTCCGCTTGGTCCGGTAAATGTGTAGTCCATTCGGCTTGGAGCCGTTCCTCCATAACACGCACCTGCGACAGAAATAAAATGCAAGTTGTTAGAAATCAATTCGTGGATATAGGACGACAGCCGTAGCAGATAGTTGTAGTAATAGAGAATACATTATAGGGCGAGTGATGAGTAACACTTCAAAACTATAGGAAACAAAAGAAAACGGTCAGAAACCTGCACAAGGTGCGAAGGTTATTGATGTAACGTATTAGGTGCGAATATACCTGCACACGGCCTGGCGCGGTTCGTTGGCGGGGGATACTGCACGACAAGAAGTCGCGGTGAAATGACGAATAATATTAAAAACGAACCACGACGCTGACTCATGACGGCACACACAGACTAGTCGTCTGGCGCGCGTAACCCTCCCCACCATAGGACACTTCACACACCCTAACCAGGTCAATACAATAGGGGGTCCACGCACGTATATATATACGCACAATGGATCAGGGTCACGCGCCCCTCGTCTACTGTACACAATACACCGTTAAACGCGATTATCGATTTTCCTGTACAATGTGTATACATCATTATGTTGTGTTTCGGCAAATTTACCCGAACCCGTCGTCTGATTACGATAAATATTATTATTTTATATGCAATACGCCTACGGCGATGCTGTACGCTTGTCGAGTAAACAACGAGATCATCTCATGTGCGTATACCTACCGATATTGCGTTTCCCCGGTCACGGATTTGTCCCTACACATACACACGACCAACGATTGTTGGTTTTCGAGTGTCAAATAATGGCCTCGGTCTGTGCACACACAATAAAATAACAATGTATCGAACAGGAGGCGACGTCGTCATTTTATTTTATTACCTATCGTCGTGATTATTTGACAACTACGCACTGCACGAGGAGAGCCAACGAAACCTACAAACGCCGTGTACGTGCATTTGGTCGCGCGCCAACGTTCTTTCAAAGCGTCACACTCACTGAACTGACCACCACCCCGCCCGCACCTACAGCCACCCACCCACACGCGACGGTTCGTAACGAATTTTTTTTCACTAGACGAACACGTGAAATTTCACAAACTTTCCGACTCGTTAATGTATTAAATACATGGTGCAAAACGTGCACCTCCTTCTCATCGGTAGAACGTACCACAACACATCATCGACGAGTGCACTGCTCTTCTATCAGTTAAGACGGTTTGTGTACATAAAAAAAGAAGAAAAAAAAACCGCGTCTACCTTATCCTTTCGTACGGCGGCGATGGTGTCGGCGACCACAGCGACGTATTGTTTTCGAAGGTCGAAGATCAGAAGACATAGGAAAGCGCTGCTGCGAAAGCCCGCGGAGCACCGCGCGAGTGTGTCCGCGGGTCGCGTGGACGGGGAAAGAACAAGGGCAAAAGGAAACGTGTTCACATTTATTTTCGTAGGAGACGTAGAGGAAAAAATCAACGAACGCGAATAAAAATATCAGACGGAAAAGACACCGTGGCGCGCGATACGGACGTTCGGTCTAGTATTTACACGACGGTGTTGCGCGAGTGCGCGCGCGCGCCGGCGACAGAGAGCGCGTGCGGTGTGCACTACGTGTTCGCGATAAGGGATGCGCGTGCGGAAGAGGAGAGATACGTCGTACGTAACATGTGACTTGGGGCGCACGGAAAGGGGTAGCAGAGTCGGGCGGTTCGCCATTTATCGGGGTGTCGGGGGGGGGGGGGGGCAAGAGGAACGAAAAAAAATCAATGCTCCCTCCGTCGGACCGGTCGCCGCCACAACCGCTACCACGTTGCCAACAGCAACACGCGCGCCGCCTGTGTGCCGAAAGACTACCGCTCATCGCGGCCGCGTGCGCACGTTTTCGCGACGGAAGTGTACGAAAACACTGCTGCCGTGCACGTGCTGCGGTTCGACGCAAGGCGAACACGTATTTATCTTCGTGTTTATCTATGCGACGGCGGCGGGTGCTCTTCCGTCCGTTACACGGCGATCGGAACGTTTCGCAGGACAGTTTTCGGGCTCGACGGTGTACCTCGTACTGCTGTGGATGTCGATGATAAGGGGGATAGGGGTGCTAAATTTGTTTTTCCCCGCGACAACAACTATACCCCTTTATATCATCGTTTTATCGTTCTCAACGACGTGAACACTTCATCCAGTCATCCGCATCACAAACCTTAGACGTTCGATAAAAGCATTTTCATTGTACCGGCATAGTAGCTAGTTGCACTTGTTGGTAAGGGATCGCGGGCGCACGTACGCGAGATTACATCCGACCCGGGACTAAACCAACGTTTTAAGTGGTTTGTTTGGAACGGAGAAACGTACCTAATCTAATTATATCAACGTGTCCGACCAAATAAAACGATCATAAAACATAATATAACGGATCTAATATCGCTGTACGTATAAAATATATCTAATAGATCAATGCATACGGTAACAACGTTTAAAGATAATGAAACCTTTACAATACCTAGCTTAAATGGGCAGTTGTACATTTTATAAAAAACATATATCTGTAACATTCGAAAAATGGCTTAGCGTAAAGGGTCCCGATCTTTAAATCACTTAATAAAATTGTTAACAGTTTGTAAGTTTACGAAATTTTCCATTTGAATTGCTCAAAAAATTGTATTAGGTAGAATAATATTAGCTCCACGCAAATAAAATTCATGGCTCGCGGTTTTATACAAATTTAATTTAACTATTGATATTGTTAATAAAGTAACAACATATTTCAATATACATTTTTTATTATTACGACGAAATAGTTTTATGAAATATATAAATTTAAGAAGAGAAAAACCCCTCACTGAAGATGTTTTTGTTTGATCGTTGTTATATAACGGATTGAAAAAATGTTATATTTCACTTAATATAATATCAATATATCATCAGTTATTACACTCGCATTTACGTCCCATTACCGTTTTCATTCAAACGGTGATGATGTATGATGATGTAGAACCGCAAAATTGCGCAATGAATAGGGGCGAGTCTATTTATTTTTTATTTTTCGAAAACCCTATACAGATGTTTCTGTGCAGTTGACGGAACGTATTTCTTGGAGAGGTCGCGATCACTATGCTTTTCGCATGTACTTCCAACGTAACCTCATCATAGTTGCATAGAGGTCGCTGCAGTGTTGGCTTGATGCTTATTACAACGCATATATTATGTTACATTATTGCATACACTGAAATGCGAATGATGCAAGAGTGAAATAATTGATAATAAAGACAAAAAACTGAAGATATAATAGAAATGCGGATTTTTCGTTTTATTCTTATTATAAATTTCAAACTAAATTGAGCAATGTATAACTATATATAACTATATATATGTATAACTATATGATATTATATTCTTAATATATTATTTTATATTTCATCGATTTTCCACGGGAAAAGTCTGAAATGTCACACGCACACGAACCGATCACGAGATAAGATCTCCGTTTTTCGTAGCGCGACACGACCGTCGACAAATGTGAATAGCAAATCGATGAAAATAATATATGCGATTATTCTCCTTCATTATGGAGGTGTGCGATTGGTTTTACACCGACAAACATGTGCATACTTAATTCAATATCGACAAGTCAAGTATAAAAGTTCATTCGTACTAATTGACAAATAACAAGCGGGTAACGTTGTTATTATTGAAATTAATAAAAGAGAAAAAAATTCCATATTATACGATATCTGCTTCAATGTAATATTTTTAATTACATTTTTCCCAGTATTGAAATGTATAAAGAAAGACTGCACGAGTATATATGTTGTAACGGACGAATATTTTACACATCGATTTGAATGTGAATCGCACAGGTGTGTATTAATAATGTCATTTACATGTCTCCTTCAAACTGAAGGCTTCAACGCTGACTGGAATGTCAAATACCCGTTATGTGCGTATAATGTAAATTTATAAATACAATACAATGATACTTGAAATTTTACACGCACCCGCACACACAATAGAATAGAATATATAAAACATATGTACAATTCCATAGATATGATTCGAGGACAAGAATTATAGCTTAACTTAACATGGTAGAATTTAAAATCATTAATACATTCCTCTATAGATAGATACACAGTACACCAAAAAATGTCTAACAATATTCACGCACAAATTAAATGTGCCATGAAATAATATTATTCTTATATTTTTAGTTTTCATAACTATTCTACATTAGATATGCGAATTAAGTTGCTCTCCTTTTATCAACATATCACAGTAGTTCCAGTAACTTAATTCTCAAAATTTAACTTCAAATACTCCAACAAAAATTGAGATAATGGAACCTATATGTGAAATACAAAAGTAAAATTAGCTTTCAGGATGAGTGTTTTAAAGTTTGAAACCAATGATAAATAAAGGTTGCATAAATTATTATTATAACTTCATTTATTATAGCATAGACAAATTTTAAGTGCTCATAAAGAATTTTTTTTTTTTTGTCAAAACATTTAACTTACAGTAATACGTATAAAAATACCAGTAGGCAATTAAGTATAAATATAGGAAACAATGTATTAAAAACAAATGGTATCAAACGAAAAATGTTGGAAGAACAAAAAACTTTTACCTAAAAAAAAAATTGTTTGTTAATTATTATTATAAATTAATGGTAATCCATTAAATTTCAATAACTATTGACTGGTAACTATATTTTTGAAATTATTTTAAAAATAGTAAAATGAATATTAATAATATAAGAACCGTACACTAATTCAGAAATTTAAATTTATAGTATTAAATATTATGTATTTCATTAAAAAAATAATAATAACATAGCAATCAAGTTATAACTAATTTATATATATTATATTATAACTACATATATGTTAAAAAATGTATTTAAATTTATAAGGATCATAAAATACATTATTTTTAGGTTACAAATACTTAATTCAAAAAACATTTTTTTAATTCGATTAAATAATGCATTCTTCTGAAATTTACACTTTCGATGAACTCATAAATAGTTTTTTAAACTCAACTAGTTCACCCAAATTGAATTTTCAATATCTATGTAAAGTGG